CATTTATGACAATTACTTTGAAATTAAACACAATGAAAGTTTCTTAAAGTGGTATTTACTTTCCTCTTGGAGGTTATGGAAAATGTTTTAAAGGCAGGCCCAGAATAAGAAAACATTTAAAGATAATGTGTTTCAAGAAAGAGATGTGACCTTGCTGAAGGATGCTCATTCTGTCCTGATGCTTTCAGACCCCAGTCTTCCAACTTACAAGATGAAATCATGTAAAGGTATGGGCATTAGGACAGATATAGGAAGGCAGGGAATGGATGTAGAGTGATCGTAGGATTCAGGTAAAAAATTGAAGGGAAGAAGGTAAGAGCTGGATGGGTAGGAAGGAGGAAGGGGGAAAACAATAGAGTACGAAAAACAACAGTTCCTTTTTAAAACCCTGAAATTAACAGCCGTACTTTGATCTGCTAACACATACATACCAAACTTTTAAAAAAATCTATTGTGAACCCATGTTATTAAATGCAGAAGTAAATACTCAGAGTTGTTCTACTTGTTGCTATTCAGAAGCACAAGTTTAAAATGTTTTACTGAGGAAAGTATAGTAATGACAAATTTGTGGCGAGCAGGTAATGTTACTTGCGAGGTCCTCTAACATTGCTTACTGCCAAAGGAAATTAAACAATTTAAAACTGGGACCGGTTAAGTAAGTGTGCTTTGGTCTGAATTATTTGCCCATTGTTGTCCATAACACCGTGTTTGTGTCTTCAGATCTTGTTTCTATATACTGGTAGTCAGAACTGGAAGAACCATCCTTGAGCACTGTTTTCAATTATTGCAGAAATAATTCCTCTGAAAACTTTTATTCCCTCATTATCACTATTCTGTAAAACTCCTCCAGAATGTCTGTTTCCTCTGTATTGGTGAGGAATCTTCTTGCAGTTTCCAGTTTTCACCTTTTCTTGTGGTAACCTTTCTCCTGAAATGTTTTTTTTGTTTTGTGATGTCTGTCACCTCCAAACAGGTGAACAGAATATGGCTGCTTCTTGACCTGAGTTTTAGAAGATTAAAAAAGGTTTTGTAATGCCCTCTGAACTTAAGTTTTTGAATGAAGATGACTGAAACTGCGTATAGTATTGCAAAGAATGTCATAGCAGTGCATCATATAATCATAATGTTTGTTGATCTGTACTAGAAATTACTACCTGACACAGTTGTGTGATTGCACCCAGCTTTTTCTTAGCTGCAGTTATTGTCATTTTAGGAATCTTTGGCCTGTTCTTGTTCGTGGTTTTCAGCTAATGACTTCCTACTGTATAGTACAAGTGGTTTATAGTACATGCACATTATAGTACATACACACGCATGTATAGTACATGCACATTATAGTACATGCACATTCCTACTGCATAGTACAGGTTATAGTGCATTCCAGTGCATGATTTTTCCATTAGTCTATGACTTTGTCCTTTTTGTTGTTGAATATCATCCTGTTTCTGCTACTCCAGTTGACACAGTAGTTTCCTATATGCCACCATCAAATGCCTTATTAAAGTCCAGATTGGTAAAACCAACTCATTGTTGTAGTTTCTTTGCCTCTAGAAAAGAATACATGTTTTCAATGGAGAAGGTTGAATCAGTCTAGCATACTGATACACCCACTTTTATCCTTTTGTGTTGTTACCGTGTTTCTAAATGTTCTGAAGAATTTATTGTATGGCCTTGCATGTGCTTTTAACAAGTGGACTGTTAAACTTTTTCTGGTAAGGAGGTATATGAAGAAAAGTGGAGAAAAAGAGAAAAAAGAAAGCAGACTGGCATCAGAGTCATAGGACTCTTTAGCTCGTGTGAAATTGTGTATGTACACTGCGCTTGAAAGCTTTGAAGTGCATATTGTATGCCAATATTTGTTAAGCTGTGATGTGCCTTTTTTTTCCCCCCTACGGAACTTTTTGTGTAAAAGATTCTCTTATGAAAAAGCACCTAGTCCTTTCTGCTGTTGTTACACAAAGTATCTCTTGGATTAAATGCATTTTCCAGAGTGAATTCTCCCCTGTATCAACATGCTTTCTATGTTTGATTATTTGTTTCCTTACCAGTGTTGGCAAACTTGGGAGGAACTGAGCACAGAGTACAATGTTCATAGGCAACTTTGCCTCAGCTGTTTCAGCTTTGCCAAGTTAGACCTCTCCAGCTGAGATGTGTGCTCATTCATCTGTGTGTCTTTTCCAGAAATTGCAAGTGGGAACTACAAGTAGATGTTTATCTCAATTAGAATCTTTAACACTGTCTAGTATAGAACGTTACTGTGTCTTGGTAGACACCAGTCTGCAGCCTTGCAGG